AGGGGGATGTTCCTTTAAGCACAGGCCTCAGATAGCCTCAGGCAGCAGCCACACAAAGTAACTCCTGACCTGATGCCCTGCCAGACCGGGTTCCAGACGGCCTTAAACGCGATTCAGCGTCTACTCAGTGTGGATGAGCTATTTCGAAATAGCAAAACGCAATTTCAAAATGCATTTTGTGTGTAGATGCGTTATTTCAAAATAACTTATTTCAAATTAACTATTTTGAAATAAGATATTTTAAAATAACACTGTAGTGTAGACATACCCCATATGAAGCACCTTGAAGAGACAGGCTGGTTGCTGCAGCAACTTCAGTATGTAGACAAACTTTGGCTTCTAGTTATCCAAAAAGCTAACTCTTATCCCATTCTCTCTAGATTAATTTGGGAGACTCCTGGTTTTGGTTCCCAGCACTAATCATTGTGATGATAGGCAACAGTGTTCTCATATGCAGGTCCTTTGCTTTCTTTGGGATTTATTCTCCTTGGCTATTTGTAAGCTCCAGTGCGTGACGTAACAGACATTTAAAGGGGTTAGTGTTTGGCCGACTGGTTTTATTGTGTGGCAAACTGACAGTTTTCTAACACTGGGAGGGAAAAAAAAATTCTATCCACACTGGATAAACGGTAGATAGATACCTAGCAGATGCAGAAATAAAGGTCATCGCTAGAGATATCTATCCCGCAAGTGTATCATTAGGGTTAATTCATATTTGTCACGTGCTATTCAAACGCTGAGTGTTACTAGCACTGTGTGCGTCTGTTTTACTGTCTCTTGTTTGACAACGTCTCTTGTACATATGAGGCATTAACGACCCTTTGGTTGACATAGCAGCAACGCCCAAGGCAGAAAGTTAGTATTATGTACTATGCAGGCTCTGGGGCAGCTGAGGAGGCAGTAGCTGCCATTTAGCTTCCCAGGTTCTTCAGTAATTTCCCTGGAATCCAGGGAAGCCAAGTGACAGATACCATCTCCTCAGCCAATGGGGAAGCTGCATAGCGCATGTAAAAAGCTCAGCGTTGTGCCACTGAGCAGCTGGGGGTCTCGGGAGGGGACTATATTTCTCATTTTCCAGCCAGGGCTGGGCTACGGGCTGAGATGGTTTAGACCAGGGCTACTCAACTTTGGAAGCTCCGGGGGCCACAATGATCCTCACAGCATATGCCGAAGGCTGCAACTTAAGTGTGGTTGTCTATACATGCAAATATATATGTAAACATATGCAAATAGCTTCGTTCACACAATGCCCCGGTGCTCCCAGGACCTAGCTCCCCAGGGGCCACAAACGCCGACACCCTCTACCAGTCTGTTCCACTTGCGTCTTTCAGTGCTCACCCCGCCGGGGAGATGCCTCGCCGTTGTGGAGAGGGTTCCCAGCGCAGGCCATATTCAAAGGATCTCACCCACGAGCTGAGTGTTGAGCCCCGCGTGAACCCAAACTGCACCATGGGCCACAAACCAACACCCATGGGCCATGTGTTGAGTAGCCCTGGTTCAGACAGCTGGGACTGGCCCAGGGCTCCTTCAGTTGTGAGTGAGGGATGTCCAGTCTCTGGCCGGGCCGTGCGGGGAATGGGAGTCCTCGCACCGAAGCGTTGGGGCCTGGAGCTAGCCTGGCTGATAAAGAGGCTACTCACCAGCTATGAAGATAATTCCCTCTCAACTTGGTGCGAGTTGGAGGTTTATTTACACAGGATAGTCTCCCTGGTACATTTCTCCTGCAGTGAGTTTCCTTTGTCATTTCAGTGAGTTGGCCCACGTAAATTCCTCAATCTGTCTCTTCTCTGATTCACTCAATACTATTTGGCACAGGCAGCAGCAAGCTGAAGATCACATGCTATTTGTCATTTGTGGTAGTATCCAGGAGGTTCCTCGCTGCATGCGCTTTCTTGGGCCTGTCTTACTAAGTATCAGTCATAGGGGCACAAAGAATACCGATTAAATGTTACTGAAATAAAGGGCTTAACGACATTCACTTGATCCAAAAACAAGACCTTTACCGGATAAAAATATTAATCTCAGTTTGGATATTGATACCACTGTCCTTTCCTCAGAACTTAATTCCCTCTCTGCCCAGGTTAGTGTCATCCTTGACTCTGAACTTTCATTCTTCCCATATCGCAGCCTTGAATTTCTGCTTTCCTCCCACACTTTCGTTGCCTGTAAATCTTACAGCCACATCTTGAAAGTTACTGTGAATAAGTCCTTGTAGCTTGACCCTGCCCCTTGACTCAGACTCTGCTGAGAACTTTATTCATGCCTCAGTCACACTGTACCTAGGCTACTTCAATTTCCCCTCTTTTGAGAGTGTCCAAGAGCTATTTTCAGAAGAAGCAGAGACCTGGAAGGCTTTGGACAGACTAACCTCCTGTTCAGGGAACAGATGATGTTACTCTATGGTCAGCCTACTGCACTGGATTGCCATCTCCCTGAATTTCAAGCATCCACCGATTTTTATTTTTCTACATATCCATTCTAATCCAACAGACACAGACCCAAGATGTTCTGATAGTTTGTAAAAGCATCTGCCATTTTCAAGTACTTAGCTGAAACCTTTGAGATTTGCCCATTACCAAATATTATTCTGTCAAGTAAATGTTTGAGAGAATGTGTGCACGCTAGGGATGTTAAAATTAGATGAATCAACTAATCGAATAGTCAATGGAATTTCCTTCGACTATTTGATTAGTCGATAAGGGCTCTTCTGCTTTGAAAAGTAGCGAGACTCTTGTGCATTTCAAAGATTGAAATGTGGCATGGAGCCTCTCTGAGTCCCCCGCTAGTCCCAGGCTCCATGCGGCGCATCCGCTTTGAAATGTACAAGAGCCCCAGTGGGGACTCTTGTACATTTCAATGGTGGAACACCACCGCTGCGCTCCTGCCACCTCCCATGGAGCTGGAGGTGGAGGGAACCAGCTTTTAAGCTGGCTCCTCCCAGTACCCCCTCTTCTTCCTCCGCCCCCGCTGCCTCTTTCTGATAGAGGCAGCAAGGGGGGGGGGAAGTGACTAGTCAACTAGTGTGTTGATAGTCGACTAGTCAATTAGTCACTTACATCCCTAGTGTGCGCGCATATATTAGTAAAAACCAGTGTCCCCACTAAACTTTTCCATCCATGTGCAGAATACATTTTATGTGCACCCAGAGATGTGAGTGTGTGCACCACCACTAGAAACAAAACAGCTAGCTGTAGGTGCTCTGCGTACCAGCTGGGCGGCACCTGAATTTCTCCTGAGCAGCCACACAAGCGCTCAGCTTACAGGGAACACTGGTAAAAACCCGCTTTTCTTCCCCTCGGGCCTCCGTACTGTCTATTCTGTCTGGAGCACCAAGCAACTCTAGCTACAGATATAGTTGCAAAGTACAGTTCTGCTGAGCACAGTTTAATGTGGCCAAATACAGAACTGTTAGGTAGCACTATTGCTACCGCTGTGTTGCAGGGTTCAGATCTCTGGAATTTCCTAGAGGCTATGCAATCTGGAAGTCTGGCTTTCTATCTCACGCTGCCTACAGCACTGGGCTGAAGAAAGTATCCAGCAGTGACATATTTGCAGCCCTTGCAAGCCTCACTTATTTAGTGGGTGACCTTTGGCAGTGAAGGGTTTTGCAAAGCTCACCTGCTGTGGCTGAAACTCTAATGAACTCACCCAAGGCCATATGATCAAGTCAGTGGCAGAGCTGCAGAAAAAACTCTGATCTGCCTCTGATCTTCATAATCAAGGCACTAGACCTCAGTTCTCCTGTGTCTATAGACACAACAGTTAGTTGCTCGCTCCCTGCCCCCCACCGCAGTAAAGAAAAAGTCCCTGGCAAGAGGACATATCTCTGTTAAAATCAGATCCATTACTCAATTTGATCTTATGCAAAAGGAAGCAGGCTGTTTTTGGACTGTGAATATTTTCCTGTCCCATAAGCAGCTGCATCTGCATCCTTGCAAAAACAGAAGAAATGGGGTCAAGAGAGAGAGGGGGAGACCCCTGCGGAGATTAAATTTTTTGTGTGCAGAAAATACAAAGGACTGTATCCCTTGGTGTGGGACAAGAGAAACAAGTAATGTAGAGACCAGCAGATGATGATCCTGAACTCTGCTTTTAGTGGGATCATAGAATAAAACAGAACTTCAATATAGGAGGTTGTAATAGGGGAAGTGTTAAACAAGTAACCAAAGTGGATTGTTAGGGCTGCTAACCCTAAAACCAGTTAAATCTGAAACCGATGACATTTTCCACACAGCGCCCACAAAGAGTAGGAGGAAAGGTCCTGCAGAAAGTCTTCAGTGAAGAATCAGAACAGGACAGTTCATTCAAACGCATGTTCTGGGAACACAGCGACCAAGTGTGCAGTTACATCAGTTCCTAAGGCAGCATCTGACAGATAACCACATCTCAACCGATACACGTGGGAATATGATTAATAAGGGTGTTTGTTTCTGTACATGTCCTGTTTAAGATTCGTGCATCACAACTATCAGCACATAAACTATTTCACACCATACCTAGGGCTCCCATTAGGACAGCTTATCCAGCAGCTGTTTCAAGATCTTGTTTAAATATTTACTTACGGGTATATGGCATCCTCCCGCTTTTTGTTCACCCTTTTGGAATGGATTCCTTATTTATACTCCTGCCATCCATGGCTTGTATCTGGAAACCTCTCTTGCTACTTCCAAGCCAGCTGCTGTGACAGAGAGCAAAACATAATGATTCCCTTTCTGGATCCGTTTCTACAGTCCCACCCTAGAGGTCTCTCCTCTATCTACAGCTCTCTTCCATGCTTCTTTTCAACATCTGGGTAGCCCCCTTGGGGCTCTGGAAATATGCACACACCATACATCCAGCCCCTAAAATAATGACATCTTGCAATAAACACAAAAACATATGCTTGACTACAATTTGTTATCTCATGCAGAGCTATTTGCATCTGCTGGACTCCTTGCAGGGCAGGGAGTGACACAGAACACAGGTTTCATGTGCATTTTTTTCAACATCTGGGTAGCCCCCTTGGGGCTCTGGAAATATGCACACACCATACATCCAGCCCCTAAAATAATGACATCTTGCAATAAACACAAAAACATATGCTTGACTACAATTTGTTATCTCATGCAGAGCTATTTGCATCTGCTGGACTCCTTGCAGGGCAGGGAGTGACACAGAACACAGGTTTCATGTGCATTTTCCTCACTAGTGAAAGACATGCCTGGCTCATCTAGGTCTATGTCCAAATGCCAAGATTAGGAGATCTGTCACATGGGAATTGCGAACCAGTGCTCCAGCCATTTAAAACCAAATCACAGTAGCATGAATAAATATTTCTCTCTCCTCCCTCAAAACACTGCGAGACCTTGTGATGTCTAGCAATCAGGCCTCAGCTCCAATGGGACTTTCAGCGGAGGCTATCCAGGCCTCCCATGGCAAAGGAATGAAAGCAATTAGCTAGGGCTCTCTTAAGGGATGGGACAGATGCTTTTGGAGAAGTGAAAGAGAAAAATCTCACTCACTCATGTTCATGATCTCTTGGGTCCTACCCACACTACAAATCCAACTGACTCAAATTGCAAGAGTCCTCTGGCGTGGTGCATTTCAAACTTTTTTTCGCATGACTCAGTTGAAGAAAATTGCTGATGCCCACAACCCAACATGATTTGACTGGAGCGTGGGCTCCGGGGTGGGGCTGAGGAGGAGAGCTTTAGGCTGTAGAAGAGGGCTCCAGCTTTGGGAGTGTCAGGGCTGAAGCAGAAGGGGCTTCCCTTGAGTGGCTCCCGGTCCGCGGTGCAGCGGGGGGGCTAAGGCAGCTTCCTGCCTCTCCTGGCACCGCAGAACATGCCTCACCCAGAAGCAGCCAGCAGCAGGTTCCCAGCCAACAGGAGTGCAGAGCTAGTGCTCAGGGAAAGGGCAGTGTGCAGAGCCCTCTGCCGTAGGAGCCAATTGTGAGCGGCACAGTGCAGCCTATGGTGCCAGGACAGGCAGGTATCTGCCTTCGCATTCCCACTGGTCACCTGATCCCCCTGCAGCAATGAGACCAGTGCCTGACATTCTGCGACCCAATCCTGGGTCACGATCCGTCGTTTGAAACCCACTTCCCTAATGGAGATGTAACACATGGATTAGTAAGCGTTACTTGTCCCCCTCTGGGACCAGATCCCCAGAAGAGAGTTTGTTCCAAGCTCCAGCTACAGAGCCTGGCTCTCGAGCTGCAGAGACCCCTGCTTGGGATCAAGATGGTGGCTCACCCAAACAACAGCTTCCCAGTGTCGGATAACAGAGCTACAGCCTTGGACTTTGTAGTGCAACTGGACATGCTGGATGTAGCTGTGTTTGCAACACTGATAGATCCCTGTAAAGCAAGGAAAGTACCAACAACATGGTTGGAGCTGCTGATAATTTCTCTCCCCTTTCTATGGTTCTAGGGACCCCGAATGCACAGAGTCTAATCCAAAGACTACTGCAGCCAAAGCCTTTGGATGAGCAGGATGGTACATGGGAATGCTGTTGCACTAAAAGTATTAAAAACACAGCTGCAGGTGATCAGAGTATAGCACACAACAGGAGGCTTTGTATTATCCGGAAGCAGAAGGTTCTTAGTGTAACTGGCAAGCGTTTCATTTGCTTGTTCATTAGCCCTTTAACTAAACACCCCTCTTGGTCCTTTTTAAGTTCTGCCCTGCAGGATTATGGGTATACCGTAAACTGAGAAAGTCTATTAGATAGAATGCATAACCGTTTCAAACTGCTTGATACCCCCACTCTCCCATCATGAACAAGCATGCTTTGATGTAATCTCCACTAGCACTGGATGGACTGACGTTCTGGAATGGAAAGGCAAAAGGTGCCACGTGACTGATTAACGAAAAAAGGAGCACAACTAAAAGAGTTTTAGTAAAGGGATTATTAATGACAATAATTGGACAAATGCATTTTATCCTCTATACTTAAACTAGCAGACTACAACTCCAGTTTAAGGTCATAGTAAAACCACATGAAGTCTGTAAGTTGGTTCATTTCTTGTCCATTCTGACCCCTTATGTCAGCCATTACGCATCTTTTCTGTTTAGTCTACAAAATGCAGGGTCAATCTCTGTGGGGAAACCATGTGACAGCTACACTTGTGACAGGGCCAAGTGACACTTTGCCCCATCCTCTGCATTGGCGAAACCATGCTAGCAGTCCAGAGAGCAGTTCCCAGTCGAAGTCTAGCATGGTTTTCCAGGCTTAGGAGGACAGGATCTCTCTTTTAATCTAAGAGTGTGAAAAGTACCTACCAAAACTAGTGTGAGACCCCAACAAGTTGTTTAAAATGGACTTTCCCCCACAATTTGTTTTTAAAAATATTCTGGTTTTTAATGAAACAGGAAAATGAAAAGTGTAGTCTTCCCTCCCCCCAAAATGCCATCTTTTCCCTGATCATTCTTTCCCACTACTGATGTCTGCTATTTCCAATAGCACTGTGGGAAGGAAAAGAACTGGAAGGGAAAACTGAAACACCTCCCCTCCCCACAAAGTGTTCAAAGTCTATATACAATTAATTGGTTTTCAAAACCTACAGAAAGAAAACTTCACAGTAGTTGTCCATGAAATGTTTTTCTTTGGAGTGGGTCAAGGAATGGAGACAGGAGTTTAGCAGACAGTCTAAACCTGTCCTGAGGGAAGGAGGCTGTTGTGGTGCCAGACGACTGCTACCGAAGTCAATATCTACAAGAACTGACCGAATAAAGTGGACAGTCCCATATGTGGCAGACCAGTTCTTCAGTCAAACAGAAAGAGGTCCAAGCCACAACATTGGCTACTGAGATTAAAAAAAACCCTCTATGAATAATTAGGAATGATTAATAATGAACAACACCAAACCATCTCTTTTCACAAGCCAGGATGGATCGTAATTCCCAATTGGCTATTTTATAGTTACCAGTAGTAGAATCATGGAGCTTCATAATACCAAGGCTAGTTTAATGGGTAATATACAGGACTAAGATCAAGAGCTCTATGCTCCGTTTCAGATTTTGCCCTATATTTTCTGTGGGATTTTTGGGTACAAAACATTTAATTGTGGGCCTGGATTTACCACCTGAGGAAACCCCCTTTTCTGATTAAGTTCTTTCAACCCATATGTCTTGTCTCTTTAGATTGTAAGGTCCTTGGGACACGACTTGTCTCTTATTCCACGTTTGAGCAGTAGCAGAATGGGACCCTAATCTCAGCTGCTACCATAATACATAACAGAATTATTGAGCGAATTACTGGCTATTGAGTGAAATATTTGGACTCTGCACAAATGTTCTTGGAAGTGATCAGAGATCCATGTAGAAGTCTAGGAATACCACGTTTTGGCCAGGATAACAAGTTATGGATGTTGCAACTCGAGTACGGATATCGGTGAGCGTCGACAAAACAATTTTTATGCCTAACTTAATTATACCAATCATAAAGTTAACATTTTAAATCACAGAGAAATAAAAGAAACCCTCCCGTTTTTGTTTTAAAGTAGAAAATAAGTCAATGTTCAGTCATTTAGAGAAGAGCAGTTAATAAAATATAGGAAATGTATACATTCATGTAGGATTTATTATAGACATATCATTCATGCAATTATTTTATGATTCGGCAGTTTTTAAACAAATCTAGTTACTTTTGTCGATGCAAGAAAACTTGATTCACTAGATTGGGCTGCCCTTTCAGATGTTCACTCACAGAATTAATTTGCTGTTGAAAATTGGGTCTCAGACCTTTATAACTCATGTCTGAAATTAGAGAGACATCTTTTATTGCCCCATTAGGCTGTGCTGCAAAACTTCTCTTTCAAGAGAATGAGGCAATCAATCAAAAGATGAACATAAAGAGATGCCTCCACATCCATGACAATTTGAACGCTTGATGAGCAATGTTGGTATTGGCTATGGTTCAGTAGCTCACCATGAATGAAGTTCAGATAACTTGTGCAATGCATACAGTTTACACGTGACAACACAGAATACACAGTCACGCATTCCACATGATCGTAGCACCCAAACATTTACCTTGAGAAGAGAAGCACAAAGCTGGAGTTGTTGCTCTTTTTTTTTTTCCTCTCTCTTTTTCTTTTTTAAACAGGAAAAAATTTAGCCAGGTGAGGGGATGTCATTTATTTTTTATAAAAAGTAGCCTCTTGCCCAACCCAAACCACAACGTGACAACTGTTGTCTTTAGAACTGAGTCATTCATTCAAGGTGAGATGGGGTTTCAGTCTGCTCTTCACCACGCCTCAGCATTAGTTAAGTAATAACAAAACAATTAAGGCTTGATTTGTTGAAACACTACACCACTGTAATGTGTAATCATGACTAATACCACTGTAAGATTACTGGCTTGTACGGTTGGAGCAAAAGAGCTGGAAATACCTTTTCTCTGTGTTGATCTTCACAGGTAGGTACCTTTTTTGGGGTGGGTGTATGGGATTGCAGCTAAGCCCAGGACTTGTGCACATGCAAACCTCCAATACACAAAGGCTACGTCTAGACAGGCATGATTTTCCACAAATGCTTTTAACGGAAAAGTTTTCCGTTAAAAGCATTTGCGGAAAAGAGCGGCTAGATTGGCATGGACGCTTTTCCACAAAAGCACTTTTTGCGGAAAAGCGTCCGTGGCCAATCTAGACGCGCATTTGTGCAAAAAAGCCCCAATCGCCATTTTCGCGATCGGGGC